CAAAGCCCTTCCTATTATTAAATCCACTCAGTTGATCAAAATAACCTGTCCAAATATACCCTTAACTACCAAGTTAAGTTTCGTCCTGAACGTTGTTTGCCGGACTCGCAGAACTGTATATAAATCGGATCCGTTTTTTGTCCTTTTTAAAAGTATATTATCTTTCGGTAACCTTAACGTTAGGAAGAACTTTTATATGATTTAAATTTATTGCAAGAATCAGACTTACACGCGAGTACTTAACTCATAGACCTTTTTACCTCGAGGAATCCAGTTTTCCAGGCATTTATCAGGCCGTGGCTGATCAAAATGTGGTATGAAGTTGCGTTTCAACAAATAAAACATTTTAGCCAAATCAGAGCATGACAAGATTTCAGTAGTTACAATTTGACTCAAAATATTGGTACTCACCAAACTCCTTTGCAAAAGCATGCAAGAAACTCTTTACTACTTTGGCCACATTGTATTATATTTAAAATATGCCGAAACGTTATTAACAGCTGTCAATATGAAACTCAAGTAGATCTTATTGTGAAATTAAATTTTTTCCCAACTTTTAGACAACAGCGACCTATGCCAGTTCGTTTGCCCTCGTTGTTTTAAGTTTTGATCGTGCGGAAGCTGTGATAAATCCGCTTCGTTCGGCCAAGCAAAAATGTTTTGGAGGTGAGAAAAATAATTGTAACAGAACATATTCTTATCTTGAAAATTTTAATTAATCGAATGCCACACTAGGGCAATATACCACCTCTTTTCACAGATATCCGCATATATTTTCAGAACACTTGTGATACAGAGAGCTGCGTTGACCAAATGTTGTGCTAACTCATTCTTTGATTGATGTGATTATATAGTTTGCGGGTTTCCGTGTACGAGCATTTGTAAACTGTGGCAAATTTGAATTGACGACTTTTTAAAATCGAGGCTAACTGTTAATGGTATAACGTGCTACCGAATTTTTGGTGGAATTGGCTCCTCGTTTTCGGGTGCGGTAATCCCTTTAGTAAATAAAGCATTATCTGGACCTCCATTAATGGTTTCCTGTTTTAATGCGTGTTGTTTTTGTAATTGTTTTTTACCCATGGGGGCATTTTCTCAAAGTCCCGGCGTATTCTTATAAAATAAACCGATACTGAAGAAGACGCTGTAGGATACATCATTCAAAACGTTCTAAGGCATAATACATTTGCTATGCGAATATACTCAGTTGTGTCAGGTTCATTTCATTTTTCGAGGGGTGTGCCTCGCAATCCTTTCTATAGGTCATCGTATTTATTAAAATTAACATAATTATTCTATGATATGTGACAGAATGCAGAATACGAATAGTCTACATCCTTTGTGTTAATGTAAACCTGTGTGTTTTGAAGTCTCCAGATAGTCATTTAGAATTCATCCGTTTGAGTTGACTTAATGGTAACGTAACCAATAATACTTTGTCTACTTCCTATTGCGTTAAGAGTGATAAGTTAAAGTGACGATAGTTCAAAAATATATATATATTTGCCTTAGTTTATTCTGATTAAATTTAAGCCGTCTGCAAGGAAGTTAAGAAGAAACGCTTTTGAATCGATAAAACTGTGCATAAGCCTAGAATTGCGTTGTTTAACAGTACTCTATATTCCTTATTAGAAAGTATTGCAAACTGTCGTGATCACCACATGTAACTTTATTAAATGCACTATATATTCATCTATAACCAGTTAGTACCTTTTCATTCTTACCCATCAATATGCACACTCGCATTTATACCACGGATATTAGTCGGCAACAGTAGCTTATGTAGACCCAATCATTAATCCCTACAACCTGCATATTTTACCACGAAAACGGTGTTTATCGGGTTTCATGGGCGGGATATTAGGACATGCAGAGGAATATACTTTAATTAATGCTAAATGCATTC